GAGAGAGAGAGAGAGAGAGAGAGAGAGAGAGAGAGAGAGAATTTCTGAGCATTTGTAAATTCATATGCTTTTTTAAAATCCGGTGGGTCACTTCTTTTCAGTTCTTAGCAATGCAAGCAAATCAGATTGGACTAAATTCCATTTCATGGCGCTCAGATGCACCTTTCTTTTGCTCGATTGTATACACTGACTTTCAGGAAGTTAAGAGCGACAGGGCAAACCGTGCCCTCAAATCATCTGCCATCGTGTTTCTTGGCATTTCAGGAACACAAGACCCCTTGACCACACTCAATGACACAACAGATCCATGCAATTTACACAGATAGTTTTCTGGAAAGGAGACAGTAAACGGCATTTGTTCAGCAGACAACAAGCCAGGCATTTACTTTTCAGGTCAGGCTCAGCAAACAGCCAAGACAACTCCTGAAGTGATGCAAAAGCCGGATGCGGAAAAAGCGGGAGCAAGTTTTCAAATGAGTCAGCCCCTTCACAAGTCGCCTTTGCAGCGGTCTGCTGCTTCCTACTCAGCCACCTGTGAATCTTGGACTGTTTGGATCGACAAAACTAAAAGTAAAGTTAAAGAGCAGGAAGTAAAATTTAGGATATTCAATCAGCACTCAGTTTCAAAACCCCGAATCTCAAACTGCCTCAGCTAATTCAGAGCCGTTTCAGGAAAAGCATGAACTTACCTTGACTGATTTTGATGTTGGTGTGCGGGAAAGCTTGGCTGATGAGGAACGTCCCAGACAGAAGAGCACAGAAATTCCATCCGAGCATCACTGCGGATGGGGAGGGAGTCTCCCCTCCAAGGCTGCGGAGAGCTGGCCGAGCGGTGCCTTCCCTCCCTCCCTCCCTCCCTCCCTCCCTTTGCAGTGCCCACTGAGGCGAGTGGAGCAGCTGCAAGCAGCCTGGGTGGACAACCCCCCTCCTGGAAGAACAAACTTTCGACAAGATACGCTGGCCAAACGCCTTGCAGCGTGACCCCACCAGCTCCATCCCCCTCCCTCCCCCCACACCCACCAGAGAGTCCCAGATAAGGTGAAGCGAAGAGGAAGAACTGTCCGTGCTAGTCTATAGCAATGGAGGTTGCCTGCGCGTTCTGCAGAGGGGCATTTCTGCGCTTTGGGGCATGCAGCTCACCTACTTCTTGGCTGTTTTCTCCTCCTGTCTCGGTTGCGTTGTCATCACCCTTTGCACTCAGCTCAGAGTGGAGGGCTGAGGCACCACTTACGGTTCCGCAAGGACTGTTTGCACGACACCTGCGAGGCATCCACCGACGCGCAAGCAAGAACCGAGGACGCGCCGCCCCTCCGTGCCATGTCCTTCCATGCTCACACAGGACGTGCACATTGGCGCAACTGCCTTGATTTCAGCCAGTTCAGTGCTCCCTATGCCGTGGGTTATCCCCAGATTCTGCATCCAAGCCCAGGAAGTCCGTGGGACCAGGAGACGGCGGGGCAGTGACTGGAATTCCCTTCCTTCGGAATAACCCGGGGCCCTCAGTGCTGGCCCACAGGTGCGCCCCGGAAGCCCCGGATCTTTCCAAGCACCTTTCTTTAAGAGTGTTCGAATGCACGGGTGCCGGAAATATTTCCTCTGTGGAGCTGGATCTTTCTGCTTGGGTGTCACTTCTCAGCAAGTGCTCACACGGGGAGAAGGAAATAAGCCCGAAAGTGATGTTCAGAACTGGAATTTATTTTTATTTATTTTATTTTTAAATTATTTATTTTAATTTATTGTGTATTTTATTAGATGTTGTGAGCCGCCCCGAGGCTTCAGCAAGGGGTGGCCTAGAAATGTTTTAATAAATAAATAAATAAATAAATAAATAAATAAATTGCCCTATTCACACTGGGGTGTGCGGCTTATTCACCCAGCTCCTCTTGCACTTCTGCCGCTTCGATGGTGACAATATTAAGAAGCGAACAAGCACGTGGAAGCATTAACGAGACGTATCCCGGCACTCTGGAAAGGACTTGTATCCAGACATTTGGTTTGCTGAAATTGATGCATAATTGATGCATCTGGACTGATGCTGCTACATGGATTTTTAAAAAATACTAGCGATGGTTAATTTCAGGCTCGTTTGCTTATCCGATTTTTGAACTTCACAATTAAACGCAAGTGAGGGAAGGGAGGAATTGTGCCAAATGGGTATGGTTGCTACGCAGGAGCGCCTTGCAAGTGCCTGCGGGGGCGTTCCTTGATCTCCAGGTGTTTCCGGGGGGAACCGGGCCCTGATCTTGGCGCTACCGGGGAACTGTGACCGAGCGCTGGTGCTGGCACCCCATGGCCACCTCCGAGGGAGGCCCGGTCAGTGGCAATGGGGAGAAGGGTGGTCAGAGGGGTAGCCCTGCTTATGGAAGAAGGTCCCCACCAGTTCCAGCTGGCACTCATTCAGTCTCTCCCCCATGCCCCGTTAGGACTGTCCTCTGTGACGAGGCATCCAATCAGTTCTAACGTTATACTGAAGCTTCATGTCTCCCACTTAGGGCTTGTGATGTAATTCGCATCAGCTACTGTCGCTTATAAAATATAGTTTTAAATGTGGCTTTTAAATTTTATATTGGAAAGTTTATGATTTTTCATTGTTACCTGTATTTTATATGCTGCTTTATTGTATTTTATGTGCTGCAGTAAACTGTTTTGAGAGCTTCAGCTATTGGGTGGTATAAAAACATTATAAGAATACATGGTCCTCCATAGTGAGGGAGGGGGGAAGGTTCCCTGCAGCTAGAAAGCTAGCATGCTAAGAAGCAGGCTGGATTAAAAATGTTGTGCCAGAGCTGCTAGCTTTTTAGGTGCAAGAATGTTTTAAAACTTTTTATGTTGACCCTCTCAGTGCGAACTAGGCCGCAGATGTGCTTCCAACAAAAGCTTTGGATTCATTGTTTTGGCTGGAAGTTATGCATGTTTTGTTTCCATAACTGACGGATCCCAGGATGAGTCTATGCCAAGGATGGGGAGGAATTTACAGCTCCCCCAGGCCAGTCATTCTCAGACTTCTGACCAGAATGAGGGAGGATAATATGTTTGTGTAATGGGATGACCCTTAAAAAGGAAGAAAGGATCCCCCTGGTGCGCATGGAGATGCTTTTCAGGAGAATTGTCCCATTCTTGCAGCACTGAAAAATGGAATCCTTATGGAATCCCAAGATCTAGTTAGTTGAGGCACTGTAAAGAGTGGGATACAAAAAATTTAAATAAATAAATTGGGCTTTTAGAGCAAGAATATGGACCTCCTGATATACCAGCAGCCTGGCGCCTTTACATGCTTTAGGCTAAAATGCGGGTGCCTGACAAGTTCAGGAGGTCAATGGCTATTAGAAGGGATTACAAGGCTGGGTCAAAGCAGCAAGAGAGAAGAGAGGCCCCACTGCTGCTGGAGGCACAAAGAGCAAAGCCAAACAAAATGCAAGGACATCCACCTTCAGGTATAGCTAGTGTGGCATCATGGCCAGAGTTCTGGACCGGGACTGGGGAAATCCAGGTCTGGTTCCAGCTCAGCCATGAAGTTCACTGGGTACCTGAGCCAGTGCTTGACTCTCAGCCTAGCCAACCTCACAGAGTTGTTACTGGGGATAAGTTGGAGAGGAAGGAATTATGTGAGCCACCTTGGGGTCCTTACAGGAAAAAAGAGTGTACGAATTGGGTCACAGGTCCTTCTTTGAGGGAGATCAGAAGCGTGGCTATCCAGAAAAAGGCCTTCTCTGTGGTGGTGCCCCATCTTTGGAACACGCTCTTCAGAGAGTTGGGCCTGGCACTGATACTTTATTCATTTTGGTGCCAGGCAAAACCTTTTTATTTTGCCGGCATTTTAAGAGCTGGTTTAGTTTTAATATTGGTTTTTATCTGGTTTCTTATCTGATGCTGCCTTTTACTGTTGTACCACTGCCTTGAGACCTCGGTAAAGTACAGGATGTTGTTCCGTCGCGAAGTTGTGTCTGACCCATCGCGACCCCATGGACAACATTCCTCCAGGCCCTCCTGTCCTCCACCATCTCGCAGAGTCCACCCAAGCCCACACCCACTGCCCCAGTGACTCCATCCAGCCACCTCATCCTCTGCCATCCCCTTCTCCTTCTGCTGTCAATTGTTCCCAGCCCAGCATCTTCTCCAGGGAGCCCTTCCTTCTCATTAGGAGTCCAAAGTATTTGAGTTCCATCTTCAGCATCTGGCCTTCTAAAGAGCAGTCAGGGTTGATCTCCTCTAGGAGTGACCGGTTTGATCGCCTTGCGGTCCAAGGGACTCTCAGGCACCTCCTCCAGCACCACAATTCAAAGGCCTCAATCCTTTGGCGCTCAGCCTTCCTTATGCTCCAACTTTCACAGCCATACATTGGAAAAACCCATGGACAGTACCAAAGGGCTAATTGTACAGGCAGCCATGCTTTAAAGAAAAACAGAAAAAATGATAAAGTAAGAAAGACAATGCAGTAAACAGTGTCCTGAACCATAATTTCACCAGATGGCGCAGAGGAGACAAGTAAGCCAGGAGGAATCCACAGACTCCGCAAGGCCTGCCCCAGAGCTTTTGCCCAAGACAAACGGATCCTGCCCAACTGATGCCAGAGGGAGGGACATGGGGAAGGAGAAATGGAAGGGAGTCTCCCCCAGAAGGCATGGCCCCCTGGCACCCCTGAACCAGAAGTTAGCATAATGCAGCATGTTTTTCTGTCCCTCCAGAAATGGAACATCAGAATTCTTTTGCAGAAAAAGACCACCACCTCGTTTTCATTTGACACAAATAAACAGATCTTTATTTTTCCATAAATATACGTCTTTAAGACAATATGTTGGCAGGCAGGAGAATCTACAGAAGCATCCAGCAGAACGGACCAATTTGGATGCCTGCTGGGTTGATTTGCTGCTTTGGAAAAATACTATGGTTCTAAAATACACCGGAGACACAAATGCTTCTTCATCAGCTAGGAGAAGAATCCAAAAGCTTCTGTTGTTCCCAAGGACCCATTCACACAAACCTTTCAACCCGGGCAAGGCAACCTACACTGTCCTTCAGGGTGGACTGGGGCACGCCGGCCTCGCACAGCGGGCGGCAGCTTCAGCAAACACCCTGAATGGATCTCTGCCATGCCTCGGCTCCACCTCCTTTCTCAAGGGAAGTTGCATCACACCGACCAAACTGAACGACCACACCAACTGAATTTTCACACACACACACACAGCGGCTTATGAAAACTGAGTGAATCGGTTTTAAAAATCTTATTCCAAGTTGTTTTTTATAACGTTCTTAAAAGACCATGCAGCTGAAGAGTGTTCTCAGTTGAAAACCTAACAAAAATGCTCCATTTCTGAAAGGAAGGAGATGTGGGGAGAAAGGGGTGGGGAGAGAGAGATTCTCCGGTTGCCTTCTTTTCCGAATCAGTAGCACCAACAGGAAAGGTCTTTGGGACAGAAAGCTGGGGCCCCACTGAGGAGAAGCAGGAAGAGGGTCCCCAAGATGCAGCAAGGTTCGCCTGCATTATGAAGGAGGTTGATGCTCTACCTTCTCGCCTTAACGTTCCCTGCCATTCGCCGTGAGCTCCAGAGGGGGTGCCCTTGAAGACCTGCTGGTGGAACACTAGCATTTACCCAGCTGCACTGCTGCCCTTACCCCGAACAGTGGTTTGTCTTGTCTTAGACGCCTCCTCTCAGTGTGGCCTGGTGGTTAGACCTGCACTGGGGACCCAGGAGATCCAGGTCCCAGTCCCGACCCAGGCATGAAGTTCAATGGGTGGCCCTGGACAGTCACTCTAGCCTACCTCACAGGGATGTTTTGAGAACCAAATGGATTTGAGAACAATGCGATTCATCATGGCTTCCTCACAAAAGAAAATAAGGATGGATGTAACTAATATAACAACAATAATCGTAATTCCAATCTAACCATTCAGATTTGGGTAGTATCCTACATGTTTCCCCACTGAAAACTTATTGCCATCAAGCCACTGTTAAGGAGATGCGTTAACATTTCCAAACCTTCAAGCCCACTAATATTTTAAAGAGTGTATTTCTAATGGATTTAAAGGTAGCAAAGAACCGGTTATGTCTTATCCAGAACAATCTGAGGATAATGCTAATCAATGCCAGTAGTTGCTACATCAGTAGGTCCCATTAATCAGGGGTGTCAAACCTTCCAGCCCAAGGGCCGAATTCCATTTCAGAAAAGCTCTTGCGAGCGAGCCAAAAGCTCTCGCGAGCGAGCCAAGCTCCAGCGGTAAGCAGAGTGAAAGGCAAGAGAGGCAGGCCCAGATACTCAACGTTCCAGCAGAGGGCAGTTTAAACTTAGGGTTGTTAGTGAAATGCATAATAAATTCAAATGAACTTGGATTTCTAGGAACACATCCTGTAGATTCTGCAGCAAACTGACTTTTTCTGAATCATGGACCATGTTTTAACCCGAGGGGGGGCGGGGCAGGGAGGGAATTTACACAAATTCACACTTACACTCATCCACTTGTGCAAGTGAAAAGCAATTAGCACACATCCCTTAAAAATACAATTCTGTCAATGAGCAGATAAAACCAAACGTGCCTCGCCATACATGGAGCCCAAATGGAATGGATTTAACACAATTCATACATCCCTATCTCCAACTGCCAGAAAGAAAACTTTAGGAGTAACATCTCTGCCTTTTAGAACTGGGAGGGAAATCATACACACAAAAATATCCTTAATATTGTAAGCCGTCCTGAGATTTTAGTATAATAGGACGGCATACAAAAGCTTTTAATAAATAAAATAATACCATAAAAACCAGCAAGCCATCCAACAGCTGAAGGCCAGGGAAAGGGGTGCGGAGTCAGGGGAAAGGGCTGTGCTCCTCCAGAAATTCCAAGGTGGCTGGATTAGGGCTTCCAGCCGAACAGATGGATGAGCTCCCATCCATACAGGGTCATGCCAAATTCAACAGCTTTTCAGTACATCAAGGGTCAAAGGCCAGCTGTTTGCTATGTATGCACAAGAAGAGATGCACAATGACATAACTAATGAAGGAGTCCATTCATGTTGACATTCACACCCAACAGCTCCAGAATAACTGCCCCTCCCAAAGTTCCTAAACCAGGTATTGGACACAACAGTCCCCCCCACCCCGGCAAAAAACATCTCCATCGACCTTTGCTTTCCGGGGTGGTCATGGTCTGTATGACATGTGTCCCATCCCAGGGATGCGCTATACAGATGTGAACTCCAGTGGCATTCCTGCCTCCATGGAGCTTCCCCATGGAAACGAAGGACACCGTTCACACATGCCAGACCAACCAGCCGCATATGGCGCTCCGGAGCTGGGCTGCCATCCACAGCCTCCTCCCCCAGAAAGGATGTCCTCCAGCGGCATCAGTCACTTGTGGGTTGTCGCTTTTAAGAGCAGCATCCCAGCTTCTCCACGGTGTGGCATCTAATGAAGGGTGTTAACATGAGAGCAGCATGGGAAAGAGAGGACCGTGCTCCACCCACGCGCACAATCCCGGACAGAGAAGCACACATTATATTCATTAAGATCATATGAAGCGCAAGAGACGGGATTCAGACAGGGTGAGTTGCATCGTATGCCCTACTGGTAAAACAGCAACCTAGGTTCTAGCCTACATTACCACACATTCACCACACAGAGAACGCACGGCGGACTTGACATCTTCGGACACAACAGCTCACAGGCAGGTACAGTCGAGGGGGAGCAGAGAGGACAGAAAGGCTCCCGGGGCACCCGGTGCTTTCACTGCCAACCCAGCTGTGACCTGCGATAAGATACAATGCACCAGGCAACAAAGGTGTTCTGAAAATGTGGCGACGGACCACCTCTAGAACCATCTCCACCATCTTACGATGGCAAAGGAAGGGCTGTTGGCATGGGTGATGTGATGGGATGCCCCGTGGGCCGGGGAGGACGGTGGCCCGAGAAAGGAGGACAGAAAGCAAGCAAGCCGCGGGATGCCGGGATGAGAGATGGCTGAGGTACGGAGGGCGAATGCAACCGTTTCCTTCCTGGCGGCCGGAACCGTCACGGTCAGTTCCAGGGGTGATTATGTGCCGAGTGTGTGGGGTGACGGGTCTCGTGTGTCTCTCTGCGGGGAAGGTGTGGAGTGGCGCCAGCAGCGCCTTCACGTCACCTCCAGGGACGCTGGCGAGACACGGTCGCATTCGGCCCGGGAGCGGAGGCTGTGCCACTGTTCCACGGAAGTGCGGTGGGAGTTGAGCATCCGCCGCCAGTGCTTCGATTCCGGGGAGCCCGTGGAGTATTGGCCGATGACGATCCTCCCGATGAAATCGTTGCTGCTCTTGACGTTGTGGCCGTAGACTGGGGACGAGAGGAAGGAGAGGAGGAGCGTTAAAAAGAACGGTTGGGCGTGGATCGCACCACGCAAAACCGGGCCTGACCGGATCGTCCGTCCAGGAGGAGAACCAGACATCCTGAGGTTTCAAAGAAAACAGACGTGCTGGTTCAAATGAAATGAACGGGCAGAGCCAAGGAAATCATGCCAGAGGAACCAGGAAATAGGCAGCTGACAGCAAGGCATTCATATTAATGACTTATAAAGACCTAAATGGCCTAGGACTCTGAAATTTCAAGGAGCATCTCCTTCCAGATATACCTGCCCACCTGGCTAAGATCTGGGTTGGAGGTCCTTCTTCGGGAGCCCTCTTCGAAGGAGGGCAGAAGCGTGGCTACCCAGAGAAGGGCCTTCTCTGTGGTGGTGCCCCGGCTATGGAACCAGCTCCCTAGAGAGGTGTGCCTGGCACTCTTTTCATTTCGGGACCAGGCCACACCCCATTTATTTTCCAGATATTTTCAGTGCTGAAGTACTTCAAGATGGGGTTTTATTTGAATTTTGTTGTCCGATGCTGTACTACCATCCTGGGACTTTTAATGAAAGACGGTATATAAAAGCTTTAAATGAACCAATCAATACTAAAACCTATTTTACAGTCATCCTAATCCAGTATCACAGACGGCTGCAGTGAAACAAGAAAAATCAATTCCAGGGTGGGCTTTCAACAGGCTTAAGAGAATATCATCTTCAAGTCGGGACTTATGGGAGTTGGAGCCCCACAAATCCTACCACCTCTGGTCTAATGGCATGTCTCCTTAAGGCAAGGGTGCAAAACCTCCTCCCAGGGCCAAATCGTGCCCCCCAGGGGTTTCCAGGGGTTCCTTCCTCTTCCCAACAACCACCAGCTCTTCGGTGGCTTCCCGTCTTCTCTGCACTTCCCCTGCTGCATGGCAACATTTCAAAATGCCTTTCTCGGGACTTGGTCGCTGGGCGGAAGAGCCTGAAGCTACAATATTTGGGATGGATGGTAGTATTTTGTCCGCACTCACCACTGGAAAGCAGCCTCTGAAACCTTCTCTGAAACAGGATGTTTCCCTTGGCCTTAAAGGATGCGGGCGTTTGCACAGCGCTTTATCTTTTGCGAGCCCCCACGGTCGGTCGATCGATCGATCGATCGTGAAAGCAAAGGGCGCTAAATGATGCAGGGGGAAGCTCTCCTCTTCCTTGCAGATGACGCTCAGACAGAGGAGCTGGGAGCAGGGTGCGGGGTGTGGGGAGGCCTTCGAAGGACTTCCAAGTTGCAAGATTACCTAGTGAAGTGCCTGAGGCAGAGCACCGGAAGCAGCCTGGTTGGGAAGGGGTGGGAGCCTCCAGGAGGGGAAGGGAGCAGAGGTGGGACCCAGTAAGGGGAAACTAGCTGCCAGGTGGTGGGGGGGGTTCGCTTTTTCGGCCTTCAAGCAGCAAGAGCAGCCCGGAGGGTGGAGCCAGAAGCCTGGCTGAAAGGGAGGGAGGGAGGGAGGGTAGGTGCCCAGGTGGGGCTCGGCTCTTCCCATGGGCACTGCTTCTCCCTCAGCTTGGGCCAAAGGCTGTGGAGGGTTCCTACTGTCCTGCGAGCTTCCATCAAAGGATCGATAATGCAATGGAAGGGGGAAGGGACCGTCTCATCACGGCCGGGCAGGCTTCTAGTCCAGTGCAGCCTCTTGTCCCTTCCTGATCCAAGGCCACTGGTTCAGCCTAAACAGGGAGGCCACCCCATGTCCACCCCGGAGTTCCTTGGCCAGCATTCTGGGTCCACACAGGGCAGCCTCCCCTGTTAGCCCGTGCTGGATTCACTTAGTGGGGCCACAGGCAATCGCAGGGCTGCACTGGAAAGAGACCGGTAAATCTTGCCCAGAATGATGCAAGGCTTGCAGTCCAGCTGGGCGAAATCTGAAGCAATAGCACAACAAGTTGTGTGTGTGTGTGTGTGAGAGAGAGAGAGCATCCTTTTTCTTCCTAAAGAGCAAATGCTATTCCTATATTCCTTCCTTTCCCCCAGTCGCTGCCAAAAGATGAGTCATTTGAATGGTACTTATCAGCACTCTTGATCTACAGAAAAGCATCTGCTGCGTAACAGGCTATCCGCTGCCACAAATACAAAACACTCATTTTTCATCATCATTGTTTAGTGCGTTCGTTTTTTTTCAGAGCCTTCAAAAATAATATAACCACCAGGTATTATTCGCAAACATACACAAAGACTCAAGTAGCCAGACTGCTGAAAATGTTATTCTGTTATGTACAGAAAAGTCTCCCCAGGGATGGAAATGATGAGCTTGAGAATAGCAAAACATGGTGGAGGAGATAACGGGAAGGGCCTCGGACCAGTTCCTTTGGGACACGAACAATAACAGCAACAGCAGCAGGGGGCTCTGCTCTTTTCCTCTTGATCATTTCTGGTCCACAGCTTTGCCAGTGCTTATCCTTGACTCATTTCATCCAAGCCATGGGAGTTACCCTGGATGGCTCACTTCGCAGCAAAGAGTCAGCACTGCTGCCATTTATGGCGTTCTAGCTGTGAGCGCTGATATTTAATTGGCCCAAATGACACCGACCCCACACAAGAAGGATGGAGCAGCAAGCTTGGGGGAATGGCACCACTGGCAAGCAGAGGAACGAAAACCTTCAGGAAGGAATGCTCCTCAAGCGGAAGGCGGACGCCTCCCAGACCAGCTCTGCGAGGACTCAGCGTGCTCAGTGACCACCAGCTGCCGAGTGACGGTTGAGGGGTGGGGAGAGAAAGCGGGTGGAACGGCAGGGGCTCTCGTTCGCAGCGTCCCATGAGACAACTGTTGTGGGCACGTCCCACCGCCTGGTCTCCAGCGTCCAGGTCCTTGCCTCTCCTCTCCTCTCCTCTCCCATCACAGGTGGACAACTCTGCTCCATTTCCAGGTTCTCCCAAGCTCTCTGAATCCAGAGTGACTCCCTCCAGCACTACACTGCAGTGGCTTGTAGGAGATGCCGTGACCCACCTGGAGCCCAGAAACCTGAGAATGGGGAGGAAACCAGTCCACAAGGGGGAGGGAAGGCTGCAGTCAGTGGTGCACTGCAGAGCTTGCCTGCTGATGCTCTTGGCCTTCCCCAAGCTCAGGTCCCCCCATACATGACCTCCTGATTCTACATTTGCAATGGGACAGAAGTCAAGATTCAGAAAGCCTCATGGCCTCAGCCAAAGAGGCACAATGGAGAACGTTTTGGACGTGCAGGGCGGCTGTGCAGAATTTGCAGACCACCATTAAAAACAACTCTATCCAGCCTTTTTTTCCTGCATGGAACCCCAAGTGGCTTTATGCAACCTTCACCCTCTCCATTTTTTTCCACATAACTAACCTGTGAAGTAGGTTAGGCTGAAAGGTAGCGACCGGTCCAGAGTCACCCAGTGGCCTTCATAGCAAAGCGGGGACTAGAACCCAAATCTTCTGAGTCCCATCTGACACTCCAACCACTAGGTTACAGTCCCCACAATTTCTCACTGTTGCCTGTGCTTACTAGGGCTGATGGGAGCTGTAGACCAGAACTTCGAGAGACCCACATGGGACCATATGCCAGCTGCGAACACCTGCAGGGCACGGCCACATTTCTAAAGCTCTCTGCAAGTGAACACCTCAGACTTCTTGCAGGTACAACTCGTCCATCCCTCCCAGCAGCCCAGTGCGAGAAAGAAAAAGGATGCAGCGGAAAAAATGACAAAACCGGTAAGAGACTCAGGCATGCTCACTCCCCGTTTGGCCCTGGCCCTGTCCATTTCCAGCCCCTGTCCTCTGGCACATCATGCCCAAGGGAATCTAGCCCCGGACCGGAAAGAAAGGGCTCCCCATTGCTGGCATACATGAAGCTCATCGGATGCTGAACATGCGTCTTTCAAGTACCACCAAAGCACTAATCTTTCTCTTCAAGAAGCCAAAAACAAGTTCAGCCCAGCTCTGCCCTTTCATCTGAACACTGCACAAATGTCCTTTCTGCACAGGAACATCCAAACAGATGCTCTCAAAGATTTTCCTTTCACAGAGACTGTTTTCCATTTTACATATTTTAAAAGCCGTTCAATAATTAACCGTCTTTGGCTGGCATGAATTGCTTGGCACCTGGCTTAAGACAAGCAACTTCAGCGCTACCTGGAAAAGGTGATGACAAGAACAATGTGCCATTGTCCACGGGGTTTGCCTTGTGCTAACAACATACTGTGTCAGAATCTGAGCTTGCTGCTGGGAAGAAAACAAAAGATCTCAATGCATTGGCAAGATCGTGTGGGGAGAGTACACCTTCAGATATTTGGGCCCCAAGACTTTTGGAGCTTTGGGAGTGATAACCAGCACCTTGAAGAGTTGCCATGTTTCACCATTCAATCCACAGGGCTTTGCCTCCCTCAATTAGCCACCAAATAAAGGCATCAACTAATTAGGCATGTAAAGATGTTGTTCAATCTATTCATGGTACTTAAAAAACAACACCAGAATGTCATTCCTTCTTGCACTAGTTCACATCAGCCCGAACCTCACTAGAACATTCCTTGCACTTTTTCACAAGTGCACATTAGTGAAAGAGCAGTGACACTCCCGTTGTAAGGAACTAATTGTGTGAATCGGCATGCATCCCCCCAAAACAGTTTTAAAAGCTCTACAAGGCCAGTGAGCCCAGGCCAATTGGCTCCTGCAAGTGGCATTCGCAGCAACCCAGACTCACTCGCATCCATTGCAAATTTCTCAAACATCCTGACAACCGTTCCCGGCTTCTGTAAGAAACGGGCAAAGTGTGCGAAGGGTCACGGGGGTGGGGGGGCACTGTTAATCTGAGTGGCTATTCATGAACAGGCCTTTTTGCCCCCCCCCCCCCGCCAGCCACTGTGGGACACCTTCCCTAGAAGAACGCTTCTACCACCTGCTCTGATGCCTCTGGGTACCGGGGCAAAGAACTTTCGTTCTCCCAGGCCTTTTTAACGCCTGCTTGCTTTATTTTTTCATATGTGCACTGCGACATTTCACGAAACATCACAAGCTTCCTTTTAACACTTGCTTCTCCAAGCTAAATATAGCTCTTCCAGGCATTCCTCGCAGGACTTGGAAGTCCTTCAGATAATCCGTTCCTATTGATAAGCCAAGCAGCATTTTGAATTGCTCCTAGAAAGAAAGTGGATTGAGAGCATTGCAAAAATCAACCACAGATCCATCAGTGTGTGGAACAGATTAGCCAGTCTGTGTCTTTCCACGGTGGATCACAGAGGTCCCACAACCAAATTGGATGAGAACTGCTATGGATCCATAGGCATCATTTTGTATTTGTATTTTGTATTATATGTATTTATTGGACTTTGACTTGTAAGCCATCCAGAGACCCGCAACGTATTGGATGGGGTTAAAAAAAAATACCCCAATCAATCAAATAAATAAATAAATCAAATATCTTGAATTTTATGACTTGACTTTAAAAAGATCGATTAGTTCTTAAAAAGTAATTTTCTATTCTTGACTGCTTGAAAAGAATGAAAAACTGCAATCTTAAGAGGTACAGAGATCCAAAGGGAAATAAAACATGCCCAAGGATTATTGAGTTTTAATATATCATGGCTTAGTGTATCAGATTGCAGGTCTGCAGCTAGCTTTGCATTCCGATGGTGTCTCACACAGAGGTGCCCCAAGGTGCAGTGCCCTTCTGAGCTTCACGGCAGCCAAGCAAGGAGTTCATCCTATGTTTGATGCTTCCCGCAAACCCAAGTGAGGGAAAGTTCCAGGGCAGTTTTATAGGGGAGGCCTGGAAGCTTGGACTAGGAATGCCATGGAGCAGAGACAAACTCAGAGTACGGCTCCCGGGATGGTGTGCCCCAGGAGCCCAAGGAATGCATTCCAACAGTCTCTCAGCAATCATAATTTTCTTTGCATCCAAAGCCAAATAAAATTCTTTTTATTCTGCATGTCCAGACTAGAACGCCATTTCTCATGTAGCCACCATGCAATGCCCGAAGTGCCAGTTTTCCTGATCTGTGGAACCACAAGGCTTGCAGAAGTGAAGGAAAAGGTGAGACAAAAAGCCCCAAAGGTGGTGGGATAGAAGGAGCTCAAAACAGGCCCCAAATGATTGTGCATGCCAGGGAACATGCCAGCGCAGGCCAAGGGTCCCTGCCGAGGAAAACATGGGACCGTGATGGTGGAATGAGAAGCTTCCACACAGAAACATTGTCTTGCATAATCCTGCTTGAATACAAATGCTGAGAAAGGCAGTACGGAATAAGATACGGCAGCTCGTGACTCAGAAGTAATGAACTGGGGCAAAGTGAGGGTGGGAGCCATGATTCTCATCTTCTGCGTGAGGTGATGTGACACAGCCCCAAGTCCCTGATGCCGATCCATTTGTGAGGACAGCTTTGTAGGGTGGTTGGCCTGCGTAGCTACACATCAAGATGGTGCGTCAGGTCACCTTTGCTAAGCTGGAAAGGGGCGAGCCTGCAGCTGGACAGGTGACCACACGTGCCCAAGTGGAGCGGGGGGGGGGGGGCTCCACGGCCTCATCAGCCCCTTCCCACTCTTATTCTGTTCTGTCCTCTGTGATCTCACCACGATGGCATTTTCCAAACAGGAATTGCTTCCTAATGAAAAACCAGCAATAGCTCGCAGACATATTTTGTTTATATATTTTTTTAAAGGACTGTCTTGTCAGCAGACAAGACATGCCCCTACGATCCAACAGCAAGCCCCTGTTCTTGGGATTCAGCCAAACATCATTCCTGCCAGTGGAGAGGAAGCCTTTTTGGAAGCCCCCGTCCCGCGCCAAATAATAGGTTCCGGTTGCGATTGGCAACATCACTTTGCTATTGTGAAAGCAGGAACTCCCGGGAACACCCTTCAGGTCACAGCTGTGCCTTGGCCCAAGTCCCATCCCATCTGCTGGTGCCAGGAAATGCCGTTCAATTCACAGGAGTGTTGCTGGGAGAGCAGAGAAAGAGCAAGCTTTGTTATGACGCGGCCTCAGTCTGGGGGCCACTGGTCAGGACTGCCGCAACTGGCAGGCCAGGACCCGAAACCTGATCCCTTCCAGGCTGCCTGGCTGCTGCCGCCGCCCTTGCTAAAGACACCGTGGGGCAGAAAGACTCGGGCTGGATGCACCCACACGTGCCAGTTGTGCCAGTGAGTGCGTCCCCGTCAGATCGCAGGGCTCAAGCCAGCTGGATCTTTCCTTGCACAGACACACAGGCAAAGATACAAGTCCTGGGTGGCAAGGACAGCATGCACTGGGTCTCGGGGCGCAGCAGCTCTTGAGACCAGGACCGGATTTACGAATACGCAGCCCGATCCCTGCCCACCCCCTCCAAAGGCCTGAGAGCCCTGGAGCTTTCTAAACCGAACCCGCAGAACAGCCAGTCAGTGGGCAGCCGCGGCAATGCTTCTCGATAAAGACAGCGGCTTATGGCAGCTGGTAATGTTGCAATGCTGAGGGCTGAGAGAGGGGAGAAAAAGAAAGGAGGCACAGAGGCCCAATCAGGCCGTCCGACAGCTCACAGAAACCATTCCGACCTTCTGCACCTGATGCAGAATATTCAAGATGGTACACCCAGCGTTCCAATTAATTATAGCCTTCTCCGCACAGGAACATTTCTGTATGTGCCTGGTGAGGTTCAGATTGCTGATGAGCAACACTTTGGTTATGAAATGTTTGGAAACAAGCTAACGGAGTCAATTTCAGCTCCCCGTCTCAACCGCCGCATCTGCCTCCCCTGTGCAAGAAATGTAAGTTCCTGAACCTTTTGCTCGGCCCACTTTTCCCCCTGCTTTGCTTCTGAAGCAATGAAATGATGCAAAGGAAGGAACAAAGGGAAAGGGAAAGAAGAGGCACCCACTCACACACGCACACAATCCTGCGATGGTCACACAGGCTCAGTTTGAACCTCACACCTGCCTGGAGTGCCCTTTCCTAGCTGTGTTGGGTAAGGTGGTGCTCACTGAGCAACCGTGTTTGAAAAGGTTGCTCATCCTGAAACAGAGGGCAAAAGATCTTGGCTTGCCCTCGTCGCCAGCCTCGGTTTGCTCTTGGCAAGGTGTGAAGCCCTCCAAAGGCAGGAACGGGGTCTCTGGGCATGATCCTGCACCCGAGCCTGAGCACAAATATGTATAGAGGGGTGAACCCCTTCTCAGTTGAGTCAAAGGATGGATGGGGTTGTTCTCCATGGGGCTAGAGATGGAGAAAACACCAAGAGGTTTCCTACTCCCCCAGTCATGGCCACCAACTAGAGCAGCCCGCCCCAGATTGCCCCCGGCAGATGCTTGCGGTTTCAGCCTCCATCAGCCCCAGCCAGTCTGGCCAGTGGCCAGGGAGGCTGGAGGCCCAGCGCTTCAGGAAGGCGCCAGACGGGAGGAGCCTGAACTGCGTGGAGCTGCTCCACGCTGGGGGCTGCTCAGAAGGAGCCACGTCCAAGAGGTGGATGATGCTGGGAGGGAGAATGGAGGCTGCTTGGAGAGTATTCTCGGGGGCTGCTGGGTGGTCTCCAGAAGAGGAGGTGGAGGAGGAAGAAGAGGCACAGGAGGGGGCTGTGGGATGTCAGCCATTTCCAGACACTGAAATGAGAGGAGCAAAGATGCTTCTCTCAAGGCCAGACTCCCCAGGTGCTCCAGCAGTTCTGAGAATGACCAAGATGGGCAGTTAGTGGGAGAGGGCTCGAAATGGGGGTTTCTCAGACACAGACGATGCAGGAATGGCTTCTGACCCCATGACACCTGACCAGCAGAGGAGGGCAGCCCAAAGAGAGGATCGGCGTGCAGAGCGGAGGCCGGCTCATTTCCAGAAGGCCCCTCTAGGAGGATGGAGCCCAGGCATGCTCATTAGGCGAGTTCCTGGAGATGAATACTAGATTGCGTTCAGCAAACAGCTCAGTGCGTGCTCAGAGAATCATTCCGGGTGTTTGTGCACCTGGAAAACACTTGGGTCAATGAAGAATGTTTTGCAGGAAAGGTCTGTGGCTCTGAATGTGCGAAGGGAGGGACCCCAGCACACGGCAGGCGGTGCTGAAGCCAAAGAGGCAGTGCCAAAAGCAGGAGGAGACAACAATACCAAAAGAGGAACCCAGTACATTGTAACATGAGCCACTTATTGCCAATAGCTAGGTCTTCGCAGAGGTATTTCAGACTTCAGAAATGTGGCAGAAAGCTGAATGCAAGCTGGGAAACCACCACACTTTCAGTGGTTGTGGGGAAGTGGTGTGGTTTTGCTTCTCTGAGGCCCTGTGCAACATCGGACAGAGTCCTTCTGGTTCCAGGCAGGAGCATGCCACCATGCAATGCGCTCAACAAAGCCACAGATGTACTTGCCAACCGTGACCACATTTGCGCATTCTTTTGGAACAAGTTTCCCCCAGTGGCATTCACACACATAAAAGTGAGGACTGCCAGTTTTAGCCAATTGCTTACATGCATTTATTAAAATGCTTCCTGCAATTCATCTGGAAGAAGATTTCTTGAAAAGGTCTTCATATTTTAACATGATACTTATAAACCTTCCAGATGGCAAAGCATCATCCAAAAAGAGAGACAGCTCTTTTGATTCTAATTTTGATTCTAATTGTAAGCTGTCCCGAGGCATCAGTGGTGGACGGGGCACAAAAGTTTTAAGTAAATAAATACAATTCTTATATACGTGATCTTTTAAAAAGTATACTTTTTCTATAGGCTTTTTAATCGCATCAGAGTCCCCCCCCAACACCCCCCCACACACACACAGGTGTTGTTCAACAATACACTATGAGACATACAAATTATCCAAAGAAGGGCACAATCCCAGCAAGAATCCCACACCTTCCAGTAATCTGGACTAGTGAAAGTTGTCGCATGTTTTTTTCTGTCACAACATTCATAGGTTTGTACCAAGGTTACTTCAATAGTGCACAGGGGCTACAGGCCACCTCGGGAAGGGACAGGTAAACGTACCTGTGAAGACTAAACTGGCATTTTCGAGTTCTTCTTGTGGAACCTTGAAGCTGAAGGATTCGTTGTAGCAGGGATCGATGGTGGCCTTCATGCACGAAGTCTTTTTGGTTTTCGCCAGTTTTAACCCGTGAACGAGCTGAATTTTCACAAAGGGATCTGAAAGGGGGAAGCACAACTCGAGCTTTGCAACTGAAATTCCATTCATTGAATACCACGACTTCCACAAGGGCCTTCACATTTAGGGGCAAGGATACCCAAGGGCTGCCTCCTCTGGGACACAGCCTGTTATCTCTGCAGACAAACGAGGCCAGCACAGACACACCACGCCAGTCCTCTACCAATTACACTGGTTACTGCTTGGAGACCAGGCCCAATGCAAACATGAAAATTTAAAGCCCTAACTGGTTTGGGGCCAGGCTATCTCAAGGAACACCTCCTCCCCGATACACCTACCTGAACTCTTACGATCGTCATTGGAGATCCTTCTCAGGGAGCCCTGTCCAAAGGAAGCAAGGAGGGCGGCTACGAGGGGAAGGGCCTTCCCAGTGGTGGCACCTCATGTGCAGAATCAGCTCCCCAAAGAGGTGCACCTGGCACCCACTCTGTTCCTTTCAGCACCAGGTGAAAACCTTTTTATTTATCCAATATTTTAACAGATAGAGTTTGTTTATTGATTTATTTATTTTTCGATTTATATCCTGCCTTTTTCCTACAAAGGGCCCAAGGCAGCTTACATCGTTCTCCTCCACCATCTTATCCCCACAACAACAACCCTGTGAGGTAGGCTGGGCTGAGAGTCTGTGACTGGCCCAGTCACCCAGCTGGCTCCATGGCTGAGTGGGGACTCGAACCCGGATCCTCTGAGTCCCAGTCCCACGCTCTTAACCACTACGCCACACTGGCTCTCAGTTTATCCTCATTTTTACTTTATTTTACTGTACCTCTGAATGAGACTTAGCTATAATGGGGTGGGTGATTTTGTACCATGTTTTATTATATTTATGCTATTTATTAATGGGATTCTTGTGTTTTTATTATATTGGGTTTGTAATAATTACAGTGTTTCTGACTTCGTAAAGCACCCAGGGATCCTTTGAGCTGATGGAGGGTGAAGAAATGCAGCAAGCAAGCAAGCAAATAAATAAATAAATGGGGTTATGTTCTCTCCTGAACCCAGTGGTACTAATAAACCAAAATTTGTTACTGTTTGCATGAACAGGACTGTATTTATTGATTATATTTCTACAGCTCTCAATAGCTGAAGCTCTCTGGGAGGTTCATAACTGCACATTGGAAATACAATAAAAATACAAAAATATCGATAACCCAGCAACAAACCATGGATTCTCTTCATGATTAATAAACCATGGTTTGCTGGCACAGCTGGGTTCAGACAGCATGACCACCTACAGTTCAGCAACAATCCACAATCCAACCAGCACTCGCAGTCAGTCCTGATCACGTTGTCTGAACTTCATTCAGACACTCGCTTCAATTCTCTATCCTTTTCGTGGGGAAAGAAACCTTGCATGGATGTTGAAAGAAACATTTCACTCTGAGAGAAGAGAAATATGCCAACAGTTTCTCACAGGTAGAACTCACCAGTAGCACATCCTTCTCTCTTCCCCCCTCCTCACCGAATCTGGGGGGGCTGACTGTGTTGGCAGTCTGGCCCCATTTCCCCACCTCCACAGGGTACCAGACGTAATCCTGCTCTGGAGCATTGTGGGGAAAAAATGGCAGCCATCCCAATCATACTGAATAATATTCGGACAGACTTTGCAGAGGGCCCTTTATTTCTGGGGATGAGGGAGCACTGCATGGGGGGAACCCTTGGGCGATTCTCTCAGAGAAATACCTTCGGGAAAATTTAGTTGCAGCTCTGTTGGGCCTTTGGAAGCTATCCTGTTCCGGCCTTCCTTGGAACTGTCCGATGAGCCGCTTCTGTTCCGCAGCGGCAGAGGTCAAAAGGTCCTCTGAATACTTTCCACTGGGAACAACAAAAGTTCTGGCCATGGGGAGGAAAGCGCAGATCTCAAAGGCTGCGCCGAAAGGAGGAATTAGGAGGCGGCATCACCACCGAAGAAGAGAGGAGACAGGCAGCTCTGTGGCCAACCGGGCCAGTGCTGCCTCCCCAGTCCCGCTGAGAAGCCCGCGCGGGGAACAACGAGGCAAGACGACCACCTTGATACCCCCAAGGGGGTACCTTTTCATTTAACCGTCATTTTAAGAATTAGAGTTCTAGATCCTGAAGTTAACAGTCGCGTTTTATTTTAATCATTTTAGTTATTTTTATTTATTCGTTTTCTTATTATTGATTTATTCTCTTTTTGCTTAATAGTGGGTTAATTTGATGGTATTCTGTTAGTACTGATTGTATTTATTATAATCGATTTATTATTATTTATTGTATCATGAACTGTATTTTTATTGGTGCTGATTTTATATTTTGCAAACCGTCCCGAGATGTTTAGTGAAAGATGGGATAAAAATATTTTATTAAATTAATTAACTTAAAGGAAGTCTGGAACTGAATGGAGGCCTTTATTCTGCCGGGGGCAGGTCACCCCTCCCAGGCTCCGCCCATCCCAAGGCATAAGGGGCAGCTTCCCAGGTGGAGCCCAGCACACTTCCTCGGCTTGGTAGACTGGGATAAGGGATGGAGAGGGTCACAGCTCTGTGGGTGGGAAAGGCTCTGGAGATGCAGGAAGCAGCACAGGGGGGCTCCCGGCCTGGAGGCAAGGGGAACCGCAGCTCCACAGCCCAGGTGAGCCCAAAGCATCATCCAAAGGCCCACAGGTGACAGAACAGCGACACATATCCCCAGGTCAGTGGTGAACTGGCCGTCACAGCATCCTCTGTATTTTTAAAACATCTCACAGACAGGGGATGGCCAGGCATGGAGCTGGTTACAGATACTCATCTTACTTTACCTTTTACTTTAAATATTTATTATTCCTTGGTAGAATGAAACCATGTTTATTCCCATGCTTATCATCCAGGCAGCAAAAGCAAAATCTGTCTTAATCCTGCAGTCATGATGGTGCTATGAATTAAATGGGTACACAGTGCAAATTTGCACACGGTCGTTCATCCTTTCTCTCGAATGACCGGGTAAATTGATTTGGTTTGGTATTTGTACACTTTTAGCCACATGCAGCAAGCCACCCACTTTGCACTCCTCCATCCATGCACAGCACACCTCCAAACTGGTGCGTGGCCAGCGTGTCCTTGATGTGCATCTCCAATGATGCACATCTCTCTATGAATAATGTCTCCCAAGCGGCATACGGCCCATCGCCGACTCTGCACATCTGCAAGCATGCACAGCACATCTCTCACCATGCGCGCCTCCACCTAGGGACAGAGCATCTCAAGCTACGCACCACAGTCATTTCAGCAAAAGCACACGGCTGTACCTGAGCCTTGGCTCATATCCGTCTGAAGCAGCTGCTTTGCTCTGACAATGTCCACGTTCAGTCTTCCTGCGCTGGGAAGGTAGTTCAGCGACAGCAAGAGTTCGCCCAGTTCAACTTCGTTCTACAACAGAAGTGGATCAAAAGCTATAAACGGGTTTGTTGTTTAACGAAGGGGAAAGTCCAAGTTCACCTTCAACCACGGAAAGTTTCCTTGAAGAGAAGGAGCTGTAATAGATGCCTAGAAGGGTTGCTTCCGTCGTCACATACCCCTCTCAAGAACGACAGTGGCCACGACGCAGGGTGAAGGAAATTCATACTGGTTCACCATTCTGTTTCTTTTTGTTATGAAAAGATACGCTCATCTAGTGACACATTCAGGTTTTCATTTGTTTCTAGCTTCTAGCTTCCATCTGTTTCATTCTTCACATTCTTTTAATTATTTTCTCCATTTAAACAAAAGACAAAGAGATTTATTTTGTGGATAGCCAACAAAAGTGTCAGAAGAGCCAACTTCTGCTGCCTTCAGGATCTTGCATTGTATAAGGGCACTGTAGAAAATAAAATGGCAGCCCCCATTTTATTTTCCCACAATGCCCCAGAAGAATGTGACCATGCAGCCCCTGGTGGAGTGAGGAGGAAATGCGGCTACCAGGGTCACCGTTCCTGCCAGGCCCTGCTGCAAATACCAAGCAGCCGTTCTGCCTCATTGGGAGTCCTGCTTCGTGCTCTGAGCAGGAGTAATTTTTCTTGGCACAGAAAAATTAGCACCTTTGTAGACTAAAAATCCATATATTTACAAGTGTGCAAGTTCACGTCATGGACATGCAGAAGCAAGCACAAGTCTGCAGCAGCCGCAGCCACCTGAAATTAAAACAAGCCATCCCATCGTGGCCTCAAGGAACGAAAACAAACACCGCTCTGCAGGCCTACGTCCGGCAGGTGTCTGCCAGACAATTGCCACTCTCCCCCGCCAGAACAAATTGAGGACCCCTAGAAATGCGAGACCAGAGAATCCTGGCCTAATTTTAATTTTGCTACCTTTATTTATGTTTGATTTCAAAGCAGACCTGAGCAGCTCAGATTTGTTCCCTTCACTGGAACAAGCTAAGCTGATTTGCCCTGTTCATCGGTTTGGATTCTGTTTGGATGCTGCTTTCTGCCACAGGTGAATCTGCGTCAGGAGCAGTTCATGGTGTTATGATTACCTGGCATCGCATTTTGGCCAAAAAAGGAGACCAGGGCAAATGGGTGACCTACTTGCTCTGGGGCAGCCTCCCTGCCACCGACGAGGAGCCTTCCAGATGTGGCCAGATGGCAACTCCAAGCCAGATGTGGCCCAATAGATGTGGGCAGTGAGTGTTGAAGTCTCAAGTGAGCACCAGGTTGGGAGAAGCTCTTCTGGATGAACGTCTGCAGGAGCTGGAGACTCTGGCCGTGGACCAGATGCATCTGGGGCGCAGTCCCCTCTGGCCCGTGACTTCACCTGCTCCTTCCCCAACCTACTGTCCTAACCTCCCCTGCTCTGCATCCTCACACCCTACTCATCCTTCCCACTGGTAGAGAACGATGCGGCAGTGGTGAAATCGCCAACATCCTGAAGCTTGGCTCCAGAAAGTCGTCTTCCTGTCTTTCCCAAGGGGGGAAGATACTTGATGACTTTCAAGGGCTTTATCACCTTTTGCCCAAAGGTGGCTCTACGCCACGCCTTCCCTGACGCGCCTCAAGGAGCTACGGGGACCCAAGCTGAGCCTTGGGCATGGAATCGAGCTGGGAAGCGCAACAGCTCCACAGACGAGCAACGGGTGGCCATGGCCACCTCCAGAAGCGGTGCACACTGTGAGAGGGAGGCAGAAGACAATAGCTAGTGGACGACACTTCCTTGGGACCCATGTTCCACACCCAGCCTACACTCCCCCCATGCATAATGCTTACACAGTAACAATACCGAGATGGGATTGTCTGCAGCCCTGATTTTCGGAAAGCCGAGATGTGAGGAAGGGCTCGGGAAACCCACTGAACGTGGGCTTCACAGAGGACTGGTTAACTGCAGCAGGAAAAGCGGTCATGCTCAAAATGGGGCAAGCACTGCAGTGGGGTGGGGGCCCCTTTGGCCTCCAGATGCTGCTGGGGCTCCAACTCCAGCATGGCCAATGGTTGAGGATAATGGCAGCTGGGGGATGGAGCGGCCATCTCATGGTATCCGGAGATGCACAGCTTCCTTATGTATGTAACAGGGTCGCTGTGCTTATTATCCTATTTTAATTGATGTTAAAAGTCACATTTTCCAGAGGGATAAGGAAAGAACAACAGCTGGCGAACTTCTGCCAACATCTCCTCTCCCAGATATCAACAAAAATGGATCACAGCCAGGAGCATTTGCTGACCGTTCCAAAATCGGCTAGACCACTTCCACTGCTGCTCTGACTTAGCCCAGAGGGTGCCTAATCTGGATCCCATCCGATGGCAATGAATCCTATCCATGAGAGTGGGACGCATGCTTTCAAGACTGGGGTATCCTAAGCGCCACTCTCTGGAATTAGCACTGTATGTGATGCGTTCCTTCCCCTCATCGTTGCCTCTGCTATCCGTTCTCTTGCAGTCTGCTCTTCCAGCTTGTACAAACCATGCTGTCCTTCCAGCGAGGACATTCCATCCAACGGTCCTTGGATGACTGTTTGGACCAGATCAAATGTTCTTTGTCTGCCATCAATGGAATGCAGCCAATGTTTTGTTCATGGCAGTAACGTCACAGTGTTTACCAAATTCCATAGCCCAAGGTGGGCCACCAGTAGCCCTCCAAATCTTCTTGTACCACAGCTCCCATCATCCCTCCCCAAGCTGGCTGAGGCCAATGAAATTCAAGAACATCTGGAGGGACCACAGATTAGTCAACTGTACAGCAATAAAATAACTCAAATACAGGACTGCATCCTGCTGCCTGCATGTTATTTTCAAATTTATATATATAATTTATGCAAGCTAGCACATAGGAGGACCGAGTCTAAGGCAAACGTTTTCATGCGTAAAGGAGCGGTCTGTGCAAGGATGTGATTGTGGAATGCAAGAGCCAGTCCCCTTTGCCAGTTCTGTCTCTCCAACGAGCAGAAAAGGCCCTTCTGTGTCATGCCCATAAATAACATACACCTCCAACTCTCTCAATTTACCAAGGAAATTCCCTCAAGGCCCACAGCAGCCCTGAAACCGAGAAAAAATTACCACATAATGTCAGCAGCAGAACAAATGAAGTCAAGAACGTACAACGACAGCCTCCACCTACTGAAGCCAAGTGGCCAAGCTGGGCTCTTACACCATCGCAACCCAACTAACTGTAAAGTGATAAGCTGTGAGGACAGACGATGAACAACAATGCTTAGTCTTTCCACAGCACAGAGGTGGGAATTGTGTGCCCCCAGATGTCATGGGACCACAATGGCCGTCATTCGTTACCACTGACCATGCTTGCTGCAAACGATGGGAGCTGGAATCCAGCAACATCCAAAGGTTCCACGTTCCCCAGCTCTGATATTGTGATTTCAGGATGCATTAAGCATACAGGAAATCTGTAAGAGCATATTATTCTCCCATTCTGCAGATGGGGAGACTGAGTCGGAAAAGCACCGCTTGCCTAAGCCACCAGGTGGTGGCTTCACGGCAGAGGCAGGATTGGAACTGGAGACTTTGATATGTCGCTCAGCCTCTAAAGCCACACCAGCTGCTGCTCTTGGCCCTCGTTACTGGTTCTGCATTGCTCCAAAAGTTCCTGGTTACCTGGCACAGGTATACAGTGATGGGACTCTGTATTCCAGTGTATAAGACATCCTGTTCCTTATGCCTTATACAGAATGCAGAAGACAGTCTTTCCATTTCCATATCACTGTTAATTCATCAAATTCATACTTCTTGAACCAGAACCAGTGGAATGTGATCAGCTGACAAAATTCATACTTTCCAAGTGTGCATTGCAGTTTGGCAACATAAAGAACACATACAAAAATGGGAACCTTTGACAAAGCAAGTGCAAATAAACCGATACAGTTGAAATAATGCCTTTCCCGTACTGTATCCTCATGGGGAAACATGCAGAAATTCACTTTATGCAGGAGGAAAATGGCTTGCAAAGATGTGTGCCTTTGAAAAGTGGCACAAACATTTTTACTTTCAAAAGAAAAAAAAATTGAAACTACACACAAGGGTTTGTGCAGCCCAGACATATTGCAATCCAGTGCAGAAATTGGTTGGAACTTACTAAGCTGTTGAAAAAGGAGAACTTGCCCCAAACCCAGCTTGACTGATCTATTGAGTCCAGGTTAAACTGCAGTTATGAAGGGGAGAAAAGTCAACTAACCGAGGTCTCCAAGAAGAGCAGCATTCATGGTAAATGTGTAAAAGCAGGGGTGCAGAAACTCAGGGCTGGGGCCCAAATCTGGCCCTCTAGGGGTCCAGTAGAGGTCAGACACCCCATCCCCTGCCTTTACCGCAACCCTTGAATGTTTGATGGTTTCCTGATGTTTGCCTAATTTTTTCACCATTCTCAAAGGTGCCCATGCCTTTCCTAAGACTTAGTTCCTGGCAGCCAAAGCTAAAATGTGCAGGTAAATTTTGCCCTACTCCTTTGCTGTTGGTCCCGCCCACCACGAGAACATCCATTCAGAGAGCTGCTCCAAACTGCCATTCAGCCTATGACCTGGGGGCACTTTCGCATCCCTGACATAAAGAAAGCTTTACCTGAGAGCTGGGGACCAGGGCCTTCCACCAGTGTCCACCCTTCACCAGGTCCACATCACTCAATGGCATCGACACCTTCCCGATGACACAGTGGCGGGAGAATTTGTCAAAATCCACTATGGTCAAGAGCAGAGTCCGCCTCTGGGCTTCCAAGAAGGGGATCTCGAAGGTGTAGCGCTCCTCAAACACAGGGTTTTGGGTCTTGCGCTTGACTCCCGTCTGCTTGGAGTTCTTCTGGTCCGGCAGGAGGCAGATCTTCACGTACGGATTGGAATGGGCCATATCCTGCCTTGAGCCATCGTAGGAAATTGGGGGAGGCAGGTCCTTCGCCTCAATTACCCGGACAATGAGGTAATTGTGCAACAGGTCATACTGGGTGCTAAAATGCAGCATGCCCAGCTGGTACTTCGCAACTATTTCCTCATCTGTCAAGGAGTCCATGTCATCGCTATTGGAGTCGAGGGAATACAGCCTCGGCTCAAATTTCCTAAAATAGTCATCAGGGGTATAGGTTTTCCTCAGGATACTTGGCTGGACAATTTCCTTCTTGGCTCCTAACATGCCAAACTCAATCGGTTTAATGTCCACGAGTGGAGAAGTCGGCCACTTCAGTTCTAGACCTGTACAAGGGGGACAAAGAAGAAATCCTGAAGCGGCTCAAAGTCAACCCCTGCCCTGTTTCATCCATCAAACGAGCAAAGCAAGGAGGATCTGCAAGAAAAGGCTGCAGTGCAACTGCTCCTGTCCCGCCAGCCAGGTCCTTCTGCATGATGCTTCAGGTCATTCTGAGCTGTTCAGAGGTTTTCTGCCTTCCGGGCTTTTTCCCCCTACAGAGTTGCTTTTCCATTTCTGCAAATTTCCCCCAAAGCTCCTGGAAGTGCAGAGATGATGTCATTTGGCCTATGTATGGATTTACACCTGGCGGTGATGTTGGTATACAAGCACTTTGATTTTACTCTGATTTTGGGTAAACCTCACTGGCACCCAGTTGATCTGCAACTGAGGCTCAATTTGAAGCATTTGTTTTGACCTTTAAAACAAACTATTCTGGGATCAAGGCCTCCCTGCCAAGAGGCATACCGTCCTCCTTGTGTTAACTTCTGAGGCCTTCCTTTGTATCTCTGCACTGGGAGTAGCATGCTAGGTGGCTAAACAAAACAGAGCCTTTTCAGGGGTGGCACCTATTTCTTAGAACGCAAGCCTGAGGAAGACCCAGCCAGCTCCATCATTATCGGGCTCATTCACAGGTATCCCAGAGGACAAATGGGGCTGTGCAGAAGTGTCACCCTAGGCCTTCCAGCCAGAAATGAGAAGGCTGAAAAAGGAGGGGAGCGGGGGGCTAGCATGGTTTCCCTGGGTGCTATTCCAAACCTTCACAACTTTACCTGTGGCTTTTCTTTGCACATCCTCTTGGGCGTTTTTAACTCTGCCAGTGCATGCATGCCCAAATGCAGCACACAAGTGTACCCACAAAGCAAGAGGGGGTCTTTTAGGACATCTAGTCCAACCCCCAACATAGTGTAGGATTCCAGGAAGCAAATCCAAACCACAGGCCTCCACCACCCCTCTCAATGCTGAACTGCATGGTAGAGCTGCAACTCCTACTAAGAATTTCCTCCTAACGCTCAACCAAATTGCCTCCATAGAACCGCAGCCCATCAGATCGAGCCCCGACCTCCTGGACAGGAGATAGCAAGTCTTTGGTCCTTCCAGAAGAACAGTCCTCCAAGCCCTGAAGGTGTCACCCTCTCTGCCCGTTCTCCTCTGGGCTAGACAAAGTCAGTTCTTTCAACCACATCGCATACATGAAGCAAGCAAATATTTCAGAGTTTTCTTCGCAGGGTTTCTGGAGAGAGGCACGAGGGAGCAGCTCTTTTCCACTTGGCTTCGGAAATCTCACCGTTTGTTCCCCCATGAGACAAAAGACACCACCGAGCCCCACCCCTTCCCCATCTACCACCACAGCCCCACAAGATGCCCCATTACTGGCAGGCCTGCCAACGGAAGCCATACTTGAAATGCGTCTTGAGAGGCTGTTCGTGGATCGGGCGGTATCAGAGGATGACCGTCTCCGGTCTGGTGACACGTTCCGTGGTGTCGGAGGTGGCTCACTTGCCGTCACGTTGTCAGAGTCACCATCTTTGTCACTGCTTCGATTTGTGGCCCTGAAGAAGAGAAAGTATCTTGGAATCGCACCGTCCGCCACCCTCTGTCAGTTGCTTTCTCCACCAGTGAATTAATCTATCCATGTGGAAGTATTTCTGATACTTACTTACTTACTTACTTATTTAGGGAGCTTCTATGCCGCCCCATTCGCCGAAGCCTTGGGGCGGCTCACAATCATACATAAATAACATAATGTAAAACAATATAATTTAACAGTATAAATTAAGTCACCCTGGCCAAAGAATAAAATAAATAATATTCACAATGAAAATAACGTTTGAATAAAAAGGTCTTCGCCTGGCACCGAAAAACAAATGACGGCGGTGCCAGGCAGACCTCTCTGGGGAGCGCATTCCATAGATTGGGCGCCACCGCAGAGAAAGCCCTCCTCCGGGTACTTACCCTCCTAATTTCCTTCACGGAGGGTTCCCGGAGAAGGGCCTCTCCCGCTGATTTCAAGGGGCGGGCGGGCATATATGGACGTAAGCACTCCCTCAGGTAATACTTTGAGAGTTCACTCCCTTTCTCTGCGCCTCATGATTTAGACCACAGATCTGCACGTAGATTTATTATTTTGATCATTATGAAACTTCTTTCTGCTTGCAAGGAACTGATGTGGCTTACACAGTCTCTAACCCACGCCACAACACCCTTGTGGGGTAGGTTGGCCTGAGAGTCCAGGACCAGCCTCAACTCACCCATGGCCAAGTGGGGTCTAGAGTCAGGCTTTCCCGAGTCCCAGCTGAACTGTCTCGCCATGGCAGCACACTAGCTTGCCATTCTTATTGCAAACTAGCTCATAATAATAGCGGCAGTAGTCATGGATCACTTGCTGGGCAAGCCAATAGCTTTGGGAGGCCAAAGGGTTGTACCCTGAGTAGTTTACATACAAAACTCAGACTAAAAAATGCCTGTATAATGAAAGCTTATCACAGTGTATTGATGGATATTGTTTGAGTCTAGATTATGAGGTATAGATGAGTTCAGATGAGCTCAGTTTCTCTGTTTAATCAGGGTCACCCCAAAGAAGTCACAAGTTGCAGCTTCAGCTTAATCTCACAGAGCACACTTTGTTAAAACATCCATGTCTCGTGTTTCATAACCTGCAGAACCAAGGAGCCATCAACGCTGCTCTTTGTGTGAGATTCATTCATTCATTCTCAATGAGGCAGGAAAGCAAATACTGGAGAGAAAATGACAGAAGGTGTTGTTGCCATGTGTGCTAAGTCAACATAATTAGATTTGCCACAGCAAGACAGACAAGTTGTCAACATTGTACAACGGAGCAAAGGAAGGAAGGAAGGAAGGGGAGAGAGAGGGAGGGAGGGAGGGAGAGAGGGATAGAGGGAGAGAGAGATCTTTCAACTCCTTATTGGATGTTGGAGATGAAATTATTTTTCAAAGCTTGAGTCTGACTCTAGCTCTCCATTTATTTATAAAATGATGAAGCTTTGCTTGTTCGGCACAGAGAGTCATCAAGGGGCTTGAAAAATAAGATAGCTTGCAGTGGTTCTACAAAGGAGGAGAAGTGGGGAATTCATTCAACTGCGTCTGGATTTCACTTGCTGGTTCTCCTGGGCTACTCAGTGGCACTGCTACCAAGAGTCCCTCCCTCTGCTTTAGACACAGGAGCAAGAAGGCAGTTGCTCTGCACGCAGAAGGCCCTCCTGGTTCAACCCCCAGTATTTCCCAGTAGGGCTGGAAAAGGGGCCTGCTGGAATCCTTGGAGAAATGCTGCTGCCAGTCAGTGTTGACAAAACTGGACTACGGGGCTCCATGGACTCATACAATACGAGGCAGCTTCCTGCATTCCTGCTCAGATCTTGCTCTGTCCTGCTCCATGCAATAGGCCATCAGATGCTCTGGGCAAAGCTCAGCAAGGAAGCACAAGGTGAGAAAGCCAGGTGGACCAGAGCCCAGCAGGACAGAATCAGGACCATGGACAGCACCAGAGGCCCGGGCTGCAGACTTGGTTTCAGGACCATGGAGAGCAACCCTCCGAGTCCACTCCCAAGGCACTGAGCTGCAGATGATGAGACTTTTATAGACAGGCTGGATGAGTCTTTCCGGAGCTCCACCCACTGAAGCCACATCTGGCCGTTAAAGGGCCAGTGTCCTTTTCTGTAGTTGCTGGCTTCTCTTCAGGGAATGAGGGTTGGAGAAGCCAGAAGGGGGTTGGAGAATGCTCCTCAAAGTCTCCCTGATCACCAGAGGGGTCTGAGGGGACAGCAGTAAATGGGGCATATGATCTGAGTCAAGGGGTCCCAGTGGAGAAGGGCAGGTTCCTCTTTGGAGTCACTCTCAGTGGACATCTTCCTCACTGAGAAGACTTGAATTTGGGCCATGACAGCCTCTCCCTGCTTTATCCTGGCACTCAGATGCTGGGAGAGGCAACAGTCTGGTGTAGTGGTTAGAGTGCTTGGCTGGGAAGACCTGGGTTGAAGTTCTCATTCAGACAAGAAGCTTGGACTTTAGCTGAGTCACGAACTATTTCACAGTGTTTTGATGAGGATAAAAGGGAGAGAAAGTCCTGTTTGCCAGCTTTGGGGGGAAAGCAGGATAAACAAGTAGCAAATACATTAATAAACAGAGCTGCATCCACACGGGCAGCTTGTAGGGAAGCTTTGCATTTGCTTAGAAGATAAATCCTTCCATGGTGATACAGAACCAAGCTCTGAAAACCACAACACATAATAAAAGATCAGTAAGGAATGGTTAAGGCAAAGCAGCCCCCTAAGTGTACAGACCCAGGAGAGTCCTAACTCAATTATAGGCCAAGGTAAGCAGGCATGTCTTTAGGGCCTGCTGGAAGGTTTCCTATGAGGAGGCTTGCTGAATCTCAGTGGGAAAAGAGTTCCCCAAGCAGGGGGCCACTGGTAAGAAGGTCCTGCCTCTCATTTCTGCCGGCCTAACTGTTCTTAGAAATAGCAGTCCTTCAAAATACAGCATTACAAGGAATCCAGGGCCTCCTCCTTCCACAGCAATCCAAACTGGGACACCTCAGACCCTGGCTGAACTTTGCTTCCTGCTCCCCCTGATGCAATTCTGAGGGAGCAGTTTCTCTGAAAATGCAGGGAGGGATCATGGGTAGCTGCCCATCAAAACACCAATCCTGGCTGATAAGCAAGGCAAGCACGGTAGACAGACAGACAGACAGACAGACAGACAGACAGACAGACAGACAGACCCCTCCTAAATGCAGCATCCAGACTTACAGCCAGGGAGGCATCTGTGCTGGAAACGGCCCCAGGATCTCCACTTCATCTTCACTCGACTGGCAGCAGCTGCAGTCGTAACACTTCTCACAACAATTGCGGCAAGTCCATCTGCACAGCAAGAGATCTGAGATTCGAGACAACAGGCCCTGGGGCCGTTGGAAACCAGAAAGCAAAATTACGACGGGTTGGTCGCTGGCGAGAATAAATACTCCGCTGTAATTTATATACAAGCCTTGGGTTTGTGTGTGTGTACACGCCTGTGTGTTGCTCTCTATTCTGGCTACCACAATTGACAGGGAATTATGTCTATTCCACTGATGTGAAAGAGGGCAATTATTAACACAGCTGAAGATGTCCACCTCTTATGGGTAGTTTCTTGGCCTTTCTGCATTTTTGTCCCCTCTCAGAAGCAGAAGTGTACTTAGCACCAAGAGCTTTAAGCTGCAATAAGCTGGGATGGGGGCCCTGTTCTTCTGCCTCTGCACCCCCCCCCATGGCTTGCAGGCCACCCTCCACTGTCCTCCCTGAGCCAGGGTCAGCACCCCAGCCTAGCCTGATGAGCCAGAGTGGAGAGCCACTGTGGGATGGAGGTGAGAGCTGGGCTGGGTTGCAGTCCCATTTGGCCATGAAGCTCGGTAGGCGAGCCCAGGACTAGAGCCCAGATCTGCCAGGTCCCCGGACCAGCACCTGACCACTCCACCCCACCATGAGTCTTACTTCGGCCCTGCCCGTGTGGGGGTGGCCTCCCTGAGCTCATTCTGCAGGCGCAGCGCAGGCCGAGAGGCATCCACAGTGCAGATCCTGAGCCACTCCCCACCTTCTCTGCCCTCTGCGCACCGGCTGCTGGAGTAGCCACTTCCCCGTGCCTAACGGCAGGGCCGGTTCTCTTATGCTCCGAAGCACCCGGGGGTACGAGGCTGGAGAAGGCTGATTAAGGATGCTGGACACCCTTTAGCTCAAGGGCCGAACTCAGTTTTGGAAATGTTCATGGGGGGGGGGCATCCCAGGGGTGACTTGGGGATGCAAAGCGAGAGTCCAGGCTGCAGAAAGCTGACTTGGGCAGGAGCAAGATGACCCGGGCCTTCCTTCGGCGAGGGGCAACGTCAGGCTGTGCCCCAACGGAGCTGCAGCTCAACTGCAGGGCCAGCCTCTTCCACGAAAGGGCCTTGACTGCCTCCGCATCTCTGGCCTGTGACGGCGGCACAGAGACCCAGACTCAGTCGGAGCTTCCAGGGCGAGAGTCTTCTGACTCCTTCGAAGGCGATGGAGCCTCCTCGGAAGGGAGAGGTGCTGACCCGCCCAGGGTGTGCCCAGTTTCCTCTCTCCGCTTCCAAAACAACGGACTGTTCTTTAGCAAAAGCTCTTTATTCTCCAGAGTACTTCCAGCAAGCACAGCCAACAAAAAGAGTCTCTGGGCATGTACAGATTGGTTTGCTGAACCCAATCTAGCAACGACTTCTAAGAACCCTCTTTCTGAGTGTGCCTGGGCCCCCTTCCCTGGGGAGGGCCCTTCCGGAGACGGGAAATCCTCTTCTCTGCCCGTCATCCCTCCAGTGGAGCGCTGTCCCTCCACATTAGGGGGTGAAGGACCATCCCAGGCTGGCTGCTGCAGGGGCTCTTCTCCCACACCCCGTTCCTGAAGCCGTAAATCTCATCATTTGCCTGAGGACCAGCCCTTGAGAGAAGGCCCTCCACCTTTTCCATCTCAACGTCTGAGAGTTTGGGCTCTCACGGCCCCTCGGACAGTGAGCCAAGGACCCCTGCTCGCTTCATTCTGAAAGCTGCTCCCTCCCACTCAAACCCTTCCTTGGAGTGGATAGCCTCACCTCCCTCAGGTGGGAGCCAGCATGGCACCGCGGGTAAAGTGCAGGGCTGGGACTCGGGCGACCCAGGTTCCAGTCCCCGCTTGACCAGGGAGCCAGCTGGGTGGCTTGGGGCCAGTCACAGGCTCTCAGCCCAACCAACCTCACAGGGTGGTTGTTGTTATGGGGATAAGACTGTGAGCAGGAGGAGAGGAATGATGTAAGACAAAAGTGAGATATAAATCAAATAAACAAACGAACAAATGGGGATTGGCCCATACGGCCATGGCTGCATCCTGTGCTCTGGTATATTGGACAGTACTCTGAAAGAACGAGAAAGGATCAGTCCCATATTTTGGAAGCCTCCGAGGTCCTAGACTGCCATACCCCCTGTTCTGGCACTCCTGATCACACGCAGCACGATCCCAACAGAACTTGTGGTGACCTCTTGGCACATGTTGATACTCTTCCCCCTCGCACAAAAAAATGAGAACTAGTAACCTTTTTAATAAAATTTGAAGTTCCCTTTGGATCTAGATCCCCAGTACCACATATTCCACAGAACTGGCCACAATTAGCCAGTCACTGATATATAAGCAAAGGCAATTTGTACAATTCAAACTTTAAACATAAAATACCCATGCTGAATCTGCACGGCTTTTACTCATGAAGAGACTGTGCATATTGGAAAATGTAGAAAGCAGAGATAGACAAAGCCAGACGAGTACACTAAAAAGCATGACTGAGAGAGAGGCAGGAGACAGAATGAATCATCAGATTAACTCACCTCATTTATTGGTTCCAACTGCCCTTTTAGATATCCATGATGAAGCAAAGGGGTAGAAAATTTAAAAACAAAACAAAAAACAAGACCAGTTTAGCAAAGCTGTACTGACTCCAAAAAACCTGCCCTCCCAGCACCAAGCCACGGCTTTGATTTCTAGCAAAACGGAGCTATTTTCAGCTCTGATTGTTCTACATATTTTGCAGAAGGTGAAAAGATCTCTAGGGGAGAATCAATTGCTTCTGTGCACTTTCCCCAATAGGTTATTTTTATCCCTTTGCAAAAGAGCTCTCCCTACCCAAACACCCCTCTGTGCAAGTCAGAGCTGGCTTGCAATAAACTTACCGTGTCCAAGTTTTACTCCCAGGAAGCAGGGAGGGGTGAGCAAGCCATGGTCAGGCACATGGTCTTTGACCTTTTTGGCATTTTCCCCAACCTCCAAATTTGTGGAAGCCAATCGGAGCAGATTTCCACTTGTGTAGGGCAAAACAAACTGCATTTGCTGCTTAAATGTGGTTAGCAGTGAAACAAGCAAAGCTGGCCTTTTTGGATTGCTGCACCACCCAGTTTGGGGGCACAGCGGAGTGGGGAGCCTTCAGGCGCGAAACTGTACTTGTTCTGTACTTGAATACAGGTTACCATGGAAAGAAATACAACTTCCCAGTAAGCATACATAGGGCTGGATACAAGGGAATCCCTCCATGAGCAGAAGCCTCCACTCAATCCACTCCTCCCCACACAGAAATGATCGCATCCTTCTTTAAAGGAAAGGGTTCTTCATCACGCTTATCATCACAACAGCCCTGCAAAGTAGGCTAGACTGAAGGAGACTAGCAGGCCCAAAGCCACCTCGTCAGTTTCACAAGCAAGTTGAGATATGAACCCCAAACTCCCCACTGTGAATATTTTAGAGCTGAAAGGATGCAGAAAACAGCAAGCAAAATTAGAAGGTGGCTAAAGGAACTCGCCCGAGGAAAGATTTCACCATTTGGGGCTTTCAGTTTAGGAAAAAACTGCAGGACTCCAAGGTTTCTGCTCACCGATTCTTCCCACTCCATCAGAACTGGAGCAGTTTTGCCAGGAAGAATGGGCAAATGTGGCAGGGTCTGGATGTACGAAGCAGATGCAGACCAACCCAAGCAGAGGCACAGCTGCCCTGGCTGGCCAGAGACGCTTCTGCCACGTACTGACTTGGGAGAGAAATACTTACGCAACCAACAAGTGTTGCGTGCATGTGTGGTATCGCGTGTGTCGTTTTTGTGCTGCAAACATATTTTTCGCTTTCACAGCACTGACTATCTTGTGTACAGCTCATAGTAGCAATGCCAATTAAATCCACTGCAATTCCAGATTGGAAGGGAGCAAAAGCAGGAAAAGAACCATGGAAGGAGGATACAGTTCTCCAAGCCACTATCTACTCTCATTCTTGCACTGGTGTTCACAGTCCGAATCAATCTGCAACGGCTACTCCAGGAGTAGAGCAGGAGATGTGTCCTCCCCACTCCAGCACCTGAACTTCTCTGGCTTCCTACCAGTCGGATTAATGGCTTGCCTGCTCCTTTCAGCACTGCCTTCTCTGACAGAAAGCTGCTCATCATGGTCTCGGGTGAAGGTTTTCCCTAGCTCTCACTGCCATCAAAAGCCACAGAAAGGCCAGGGGGCTTCAATAAAAGATGAGCAAGAACGAGGGAAGGGATCCGACTGAGCACAACTGCAATAAATGCATCACAAGAAAAGGTAAGGACTTTAATGACAAAACTGAACGGCATTAAGAAATGGGGGAGAGGAAAGAATCGGTGCTGTTCCCGGAAGAATTACTTCCCTCTCCTTGGCAGATGCAAAGATGACGATGGCAAAATTCCTCCAATGCCTTCTGCACGCCACCCGGATCCACTCCAACGCTACACTCAACTGCGGGCCGTCCCCTGAGCGCCAGCTCCGAGGAGGCCCAAGGACGGCAACAAGAGGGAGGGCTTTCTCTGTGGTGGCCCCACATCTTTGGAACAACCTCCCTGCTGCGGCCCCCAGCACCAAACTTGCCATCTTTCCAGCACCAAATAAAGGCAGCCCTTTCTGCTGAAGCCTTTCAAGATTAACTCAGCTTTCAGGTGCTCAACCACTCCAGGTGAGTTTCCTTCTACAGGAAAATTTGAGGGGCCTGAAGGATTCCCCCAGAGACCTTCCACCCTGGCCAAAGGGCTCCACCTGTTGGGGCCCATCTGATGCCCAGTTGCTGCCTGGCTGGGCCTGAGAGACCGGCGGTTGGCCAGGTGGGTGGGTGGCTTGTGGGCGTCGGGTACATGATCACAACCAATTCCCTAACCCTAATTCTTTGTCTCACTGCTATTGCTTTAGAAATCTTGCAAATTCTGCGAATGGTTGCATTTATTCCCTCCAGTAGCTGTTCTGATTTTGTCTCATTTTGCACCTTGTTTTGCACGGCATTCTACCATATTTTGAATATTGCATTAGTGTATTTTGTGAACCAGCCCGAGAGCCTTTTATGACCAAGTAGCGGTATAGAAATTTAATTTCATAATAATAAATAATAGAGTCATTTTACAGCATGTTTCAACTATTTTAAATCCAGTTAATGCTGCTTTGCTTTTATGACAGAGTATTATATTGCATTGTTTTGATGTGATGCACTTTTGTAAACCACCCAGAAAAACAGGCAGACTTGGGAACAAGCACCAATAGCTGCCACAGCAAGTCTAATTTGTCCCTTAAGGCAGTCGCTGCCCCCTCTTCGTGGTCAGGGCTGACCTTACCTCAGCCGTGTCTTGCTTCCCAGTCTCTTGCTCAGTTAAAAGGAAGCATGGCGTGAAAAATGCATGCGCCCAAGCATGGAAACAGAGCGTCGTTACTGTGCCTACCCTGTGAGTCTGTTGTCCAAATTCACAGCCAATTCATCCAACCATCTTCCTTGTATGTGGCCAGACGTTTGCAGCTGAACGCTGCATGATCCCATGACGCAAATCTATACCTCAGCAAGTCTTCCCAACATAGGAACAGCACTGACATTATAAATGGATGTAGATGTTACAGGTAATTCAATGCATGAGTCATGATGGGGGACTAGAATCCCCAGGGCTGCTTCAAAGAATTATGTCCAAAACTGTTCAACCTACACATCTGATTACTTATTGAAAAATTAATCCTTCCTCTAAGGACGGTCTTGGCCAGGCACTGGAAGCTCCCTTCCATCTGGGCTGCAGAAGGTCTTGTATTTGGCAGAGACAGAAAATGCTTATCCAGTTGCAGTGGATTGGGCTAACCACTGTTAAGAAACTAAAACAAGATCTGTGTTCCAAAGCACATCGAAAACACGTCTGAGAAAAGTAGGATTTTCAGATCGTGTGTTTTCCAAAGATGGAGAACCAACATGTCCCCCTTTCTGGCTCCCAGCAGCCCCAGGAAGGACCAACTTTTCCCAGCAGCCACCGGGACAACTGTGCCTCCTTCCTGCATCCATCACTTGGCCTGCCCAGGCTGCACTGCACCCTGGGTCTCCAAACAAGCGGTGCTGTGTGTTTGCTGCTTCTTTTTCACTGCCTGCTTCCTCTCCAGAACTCCGTTTATGGTCCCCCAGCTCTGCCTTCCCCTCCCAGAGGAGGCCTGTGGTTCAGTGACAAAGCACCCGCTTTGCATGCAAAAGGCCCCAGGTTCAATTCCCAGCATCTGCCCTTAAGACCAGGAAAGGCTCTGGCTAAAAACCCTAAAGAACTACCAAGAATATCTATGGGTTCTCTGCCAGAGGAAGCACTTGCCTAATTCAGTGGGTTCCCAGAAGAGTAGAGCTGGAAGGGGCCACTAAGACCATAGGTCCTTCTCCAGGCAGGACCCTGAGATAAATCATCCAAAAGAGGACTGTTAGCCGCATCTTCGATGCCTCTAGTGCAGAAGAGCCCACGAGCTCCCCAGGTAATTGGCAGCTCCCTCCCATGCTTCTGTGTACCGCTGGCAAAGTTTACACTTCAGTCTCCTCCTGCAGCCAGCCTCCTCCCGAGTAGAGGAACCAGCTGCAAGACAGCACCCGTCCTCTGAGCTGGGTTCACCTTCTGTCAGCCTTCTATTTCTGATTTCACTCAGCACAAGTTCAGTTGCAATACCAACCTTCTTTTACATTTATTGAATGGATTTCACAGTTGCTTTGGTTTTATTAAGCACGTCCTTCATAATAAATTGTTTTTTCCTTCAAATTGCAAGCCACTTGGGCTACTGTTCTACTGCCACAGCAGTGCTGGCTTGGGAGAGCAAGGCTGCTGTCCTTGGTACTGACCATGCTTCGCATTCATAATAGACCCAGGCCCCTTTTTGCTCAGTGAGCACATTTGGAAGGTTGAGAGGAAGTTGTGGGCACTCTCACAAAATGGCTTCCAGGAGGGTGGGGCTTGCTTATCCCCAAAATGGCTGCAACAGTGCCATGGCCAGTCACAAAATGCTCCTTTCCTTTCCCAGAAGGCAAACTAGTGAATCTAAAATATTAAGTACAAGCTCCAGGTGAGACCAGAGCTCCAAATCACAGAGGAAAATCCAGAGGGACCTGGAGGGGCAACACTCCACTTTGAGCCAGCCCTTGGCCAACCCTCCGCCTCACAGGGCTGTTGCTCCGGAGCTGAAATGGAGCTGCGGGGGCCACCCTGGGGCCACCTTGGCTTCCTCAGAGGAGGAGAAAAGGTGGCATAGAAATGCAATGCAAGAAAAGAAGAAGGGGAAGGAGAAGCAGCAGAAAAATTCACACAGACACACTCAAGAACTCTCATGTCTTTTCACAACGCTGAATTAAGCTATGAAACTGCTGCAAGTTATGGGGAAAGCTACTGATATAGATATTTTCAGGAGAAGACTAGACAAAATACGGGACTATACTATTGGTAGCAAAGTAGAACTTCCCTGTGCAGAAGCAGTATGTATGTATGTATCTTTGTACCCCACCTTTTTTCCTTCCAAGGAACTCAAGGCAGCTTACAGATTTCTCCTCCACCTCTTATTCTTATCCTCGGGACAGCAACCCTGGGCAGTAGGTTGGGCTGAGACTCTGTCACTGGCCCAGCTAAGTCACCTACCGAGCTCCACAGCCAAGGGACTAGAACCTTAGTGTCCTCCTGGAGAATTAAGGTTATCACCCCAGTCCTTCTGGAAACAACTTATTTTCTTCTTCCCTTCCCAGCCCTTTCTCCTCTTGTGTTGTGTCTTTTTAGGTTGCAGATGTATTTATTTTAGATCGTAAGTCTATCTATTAAACCCATCTGCCCTGCCCATTAGCCAGGATGGCTCTCTGGACAGCAAATTTCTAGGCAGGGAAAGAAACTGTCCTGTTTAAATCTCAGATATAAGCCACACTGGGAACTTTTGGGACCCAAGGGGCAGAGTTTTATTTACTTATTCTAAATTTGAAAGAAAGAAGAAACTCAAGCTACCCCCTCAAGACTTCCACCACTGCAAACACACAAACAAAAGAAGAAGAGCAACCGCTTTCCCAGCTCCACCGGCAGAACTCCAAAAGACGATGGAGTACTTTCCCCTGATGCTCTTAAACTGCTAAGTAACAACCAGCAGGCATTATATATCTGAAATGCAGTGGAGAAAGCAACATGGATCCAGTCATGATAATGGGAGTGCAGCGGACAGGGAGCCGTGCTAAAGCAAACAAAGGGAGAAGACAACCAACTGATGGGGCCTTGTAAAACCATAAAGGCAAACACAAACAGCTGTGTGGGACCACACCATCCCCGCAGAACAGGGGCAGGCGGCGCGGAAGGAAGAGACAAGACGGCCACAGAAGGATCTGGCAGATCGGTGAACAGAGATCAATTGGCGGCAGGTTTTCAGAGGGGGAAAGGATCTCATTTTAATCCACTCATTCAGTTGGAAGGTCCCGGATGTGTAGAAAACTTGGAGAAAGGTGTTTTTCTTGGGGGGGAAATTGAGTGGGGCTTCCTCTTCCTTCCTTCACCACTAGGAAAAGGAGCCACTTGCAGAATTTTCTCCAAATGCTATCCATCATTTTATATTATCATCATCGCCCCTAGGGGGCTGGCCCCCTTGCCTCCCTGGATTAAGGTCTGGATATTGTAGCAAGGCAGCCAGCAACAAATGAGAGAGAGAGAGAGAGAGAGAGAGAACGCATGCAAGCAAACAAGCGAGTCAGCTTTTTCCCATGCTCATGGTGACCCCCATCTCTGAGATACGCTTGGGAGAATTTCTCCCCCCTCCTTGGCAAAGTGCAGGAAAATGGTGTCCGGCTGGTCCCCCCCCCCCCGCACCACTCCCGTTTCTCTGTCCATTTTGAGAGACTGTTTGTACACAGCTCCACCCACTGAAATCCCAAGAGACAGCCCTTCTTAGACTTCAGTAGGGTAGCCTCTTATGTATTACCGAAGGGTGGGGGGGGGATACACAACAGTAATAAAAAAGGGGGGGGGAGACCAAAGAGGGCAGTGATTGGCACCATACTGACATATGCCAGTTAATTTAGACGTGTGCAAATTGAAGGACCACCCTTTAAACAGAAGTACAATTCATCCAACTACAGCATTGAAAACTGTGGCCACGTAGCTTGCGTGTCTTCCTGCACCGCTGCCGAGCACCGACA